CGCCGTCATTCGAGATGGGCCTATGCATATGGATGCTGTAGATCGACCACTACATAGGGCCCAGGATATTTGACCCCCAGGCGGGCGACATCGAGGTGGACAAGGAGGCCGCGAAGCGGGCAATGATGGAATGGCCCCGAGGTCCACAAGGAGGAGTAGGGGCCTGGACTACAGCGAGAACCGGGCATCACTGCGATGGGGCCGCCCATGCCAGGTAAGGGTCCATCCCGAGAAGCTGAGGGAGCTGGTCCTCGGGACGGAGGCGCTCGTGGTTAAGCCCTTCGCGTCGCCTGCGAGGCTCTCGTCGCTGCTGGGCACGTGGACTTGGGCGCTCATGATCTGTCGCGCGGGTTTTGCCATCCTGGGCTCGATCTACAAGTGGATCAACGAGCGCGTCGAATCCTGGGGCGAAACCATGCCCCTTGTGGCTCCCGTGATCTCGGAACTGACGGCGCTAGTCAATCTCTCCGTCTATTCCACTGCGAATCTGGAGGCGGAGTGGGCCGCGCGGGCTTGCGCGGCGGATGCGTCGGAGTTCGGCTGCGGGGCGGCGGCGACGGAGGCGGCCGCCCGCGCGCGCAGGCAGGAGGCGGCCAAGGGCGATCTCCAGACCTGGCCCATTAGGATCGAGGAGGCCCCCGCCGCGGTCGAGGGCGAGCTCAGCGGGCCCAGCAGCGGGATGACCGGGCGAGAGCTGGGTCGATGGGATCAGCGACGACGCGGGGGCCCGCGCTACCGCGCGGCGCGAGGCATCCGACATGCTGAGGGGGCCGTCCTACGAGCTGCTGGGGCCGAGGGGGCTGGAGCTCCCCGTCGGTCGGATGCGGCGGCGCTGGTGGTGGCGCGTCAATTTGGCGCCGTCTGGCTCCCCTGCGGAGCAGCAGTTGGCTTTCGAGGTGGCGAAGCTCTTTCGCAGGGAGGGGCCCATCTTCGCGGCGCTGGTCAGGGTGGACGGGGGGTTCGGTTCCTTCTGGGGCGAGCTGAGCAAGCTGGGTGGGATCTTCTGTTTCCAGATGGACGCGGATGGGGGGCGTGGTGACGCTGCCGACGAACGGCGGGCGGTCCGGGGCCCTGCGGCGCGAGCAGATCGGCGAGGCAGAGCGCGGGGGCGCCGCGAGCCTCAGGCACGGCGCGAAGTCGAGGTCACCCTTCTGCGTGGCGGTGGCCAAGATCGAGCCACGCTGGAGCATGATCGGGGGCGGCGCGCAGGCGAGTCTCGAAGGCGGCGCCCCTCGAAGTCGTCGACCGGCGTGGGCAGGCCTTGCCCGCGTCAGTGCAGTGGGGCGACGGAGGAGCGGTGGCCTTTGCTCTTCAAGGGCCTGTGGCGTCGGGAGGAGCACAACGACGCGCTGGACTTGAGGGCGATCGCGGCGCCGCTCCGACATGTGCCACGCGCGAGGCGCACGCGGGGGAGGCGCGCGCAGGTTTTCTCGGATACCCTCGTTGCCATGGGGGTGCTGTCGAAGGGTCGCCCCTCGGCGTCGGGGCCCTGCGCGTGGCCCGGCAGGCTGCCGCGGCGGCCCTCGCCCTCGGCATCAAGTCATGCCCGCGGTGGGCGGCGCCCGAGGGCGACGCGTCGGACGGGCCGAGCAGGGGCCTGGACATCGGCGCGGCGGAGAAGACGAAGCAACATCACACGCGGAGACATGCCCCGAATGCGGTCCGCACTTTCTTCGGTGGGAGGCCCAAGGCGGCGACGGACTCGACGGGGGCACCGAGCGATTCATGCATTCATGACCGACGGCATCGAGGTTCTCACGCGCTGCGACGGCGCTGACCTCGGACGTCGCCATCTGTTTTGCCGCGAGGGCGCTAGATCGCAAATCCAGGCGCAGCCGCGTTTCGGTGAAGGCGCCCGGGTTCGGTCGCCATGTGTCTTGCTGTGCCCCGAGGGCGTTGGATCGCAAATCCAGGCGCAGCCCCGTTGCGGGGAAGGCGCCCTGGTTCGGTCGCCGCGCTCTCTGCTGGGACGCGCAGGCGTCGCCTCGGGAATGGCGCCTCGCGCGAGACCGTCTTGGAGCTGGGTGCTCATCATGCTCAGTCGCCTGCGCGGAGCGGGTGCTGCGCGAGCGCTGGCGAGGCCGCCTCCTCTACGGACGCAGGGGCCACGAGCTTGGGGCAACGCGCCCGGCGCGCGGCTGCGCTACAACAACAGGCTGGTCACGCGCGCGGTAGACGATAAGACGAACGTTGCGTGCGAGAAGGCAATGGGGAGTTCCTGATCGATGCGAGAGCTGAGCGTCCCGTTTCATTCGGTATCCCTGCGTGAAAAGGATGTGGCCTCTTGTCGGGCGGACATGTGCCACGCGCGACGACAGGGGCAGGCTCGAGGGGGCCTCCTGCTCAACGGTTTCATGCGCACCTTCGAGGACCGCAGGAATTTTCTTCCGCTGTCGGCTCGCGGTCTGGAGGCGCGGGAGAGGCAGCAGCAGGGCCAAGAGGAACTGCCTATTCCCCTCCAGACCCTCGGGCTCATCATACTCGACCTGCGTGAGGCTGGGCGCGCGCTCGAAGCGCGTGCAGTTGTCGCGCAGCTGGGCGGCTGGCGACGTGAGCGGAATTGGGCACAACTGCGAAATATTAACATATCGGTGGACAGTTCTTGGGCGGGGGGCTCGGGATGTGGACGAATGGCGCCGCTTCTGGGATGCAGATCCAGGGGCGAGAAGGGGAAGACAGGCTCGGGGCAACGCGTCGAAATGCAGACGGAGCTGACGAAGTGCATGCTGCTGACCCTTTTTTTTCGGAGGGCCTGGCGGACGGCGACCTAGCGACCCCAATCACCACCGACAAGTATCGCACGACGCTGCAAGCGTCTCTCGGGAGGCCGGGCCTTAAGTCCCTTGGCCCACCTCACTGTATCAGGCACGCCGGGGCTGTTCAGCACGTGGCCAACGAGGGCGACCTGGAGATAGCGAGGGGGAGGGGGCGTTGGACGACGTTGAGTGCCTTGCGGCACTACACCAAAACGCACGTTTTGATGCAGAGGCGCTCCCTCCTCCAGTCTGATCAGATCGACAAAGGCAAACGGTTCTGGCAAGCCCCAGGACTGGCGATGTCCCTGGCGCCGGGGAAGTCCAAGGCGCGGACAATCCGATCACCGTGAGCCTGATTGCACCACCTTCTCAGCATTAGGGCGACAGCCTGGAGTTGGGCTGCGCTTCGTCTTGAGCGAGACCCGACGTGGGGCGTCAAAGGGCAGGGGGCAAGGCCCTGTTCCGACGCCGAGGCCCCGCCTAGACTCCCCTCGTTCTGTTCTCGAAGTGCTCAAGTGACTCGCTGAATGGGGCATGTACGATTTCAAAGGGAGATGTGCCAAAGCTGGGGGTGCTTACGTTGAGAAGCTATTACTTATATTTCTTGTCCCTCCCTCCATCCCTCCTTACGGTGCTTCCCCTCGGAATCCTGATTGCAGAGCCTTCGGCCAGATTTGTTTGTTTTTTCACAGGTTCCGCGGCTTTTGTGGGCCCATGAAGGTCACGTACCTGTGCGCACTCGGTCGAGGGCCGTATCAGCCTTGAGTGGGCGAGCGCTCTGGATTAGACTGAGGGCAAGAGATCCACCTGTAGCCTGTTTTGCAGGAAATTTCGGTCATCTCGTCTCTGCCTGCTTGTGTCGGCTATTCATGCGTGATTGTTCGGTGCTCTCTTGTTTGCGCAGGCCTGTCGGCCGCCTCCGTCTGCCCCCCAAGCTCTGGCACAAGAGGTCCCCCTGTACAGCTTGGTTTAAAAACAACAGTTAAAACTCGTCGTCGGGCCGTGCGTTCGAAAACCCGAATGGCCGAGAACGAACGCACGTTCAATCGCGTCCGCAACGGCGGCCGCTCGGGCGAATCTGCCAACCAAGATCCGGACAGCGCTGCCAGACCCGGACGGCCAACTTGCAACGAGGGCGAAGAGGGGCACAGGGCGGATAAGGCGAAGCGAACAGAAACAACGGCGGCAGGAGGGGGAGGGGGCAATGGACGACGACGTCGATGTTCAACTTACGGTGCGCGCGTCACCTTTGGCGACGCGAACAAGGGGGTGGCCAGAGGGGGTCAGCCTTCTAAGAATGTGTGGGGCTTATCAGAAAGCAAAGGCCCAAGGAAAATCTTCGAACGGCCCTGTACCTTCTGAAAAGCCTTCTCAAAAGCCGGGGGTGTTTCTGAGAAGACCACTCACTTCCTCGAACGTGGCGGAACGAGAGAAAAGCCGTGCGATCGCTAGCACCAAAACGGCTGCGGACGCAAAAATCAACACATGCGAGTCCGCCGGCCGGTGTCCGGCAGGCCCGTTAGGGCCAGCGCGGTCGGGGAAGGATGGGGGCGATGACGAGGATGAGGAAGTCAACGAACGTTGACGACGACAACGACGACGACGAGGAGGAAGAGGAGGATGATACGAAGAAAGAGGAGGAGGACGTCGAGGATGATGACGACGCCTGGGGCTGTCCCACCGCTGCGTCGTCGTGGACCTCCACCGCCTCCTCCTCCTTCTCCTTCCCATCACCATCACCATCCCCATCATCAACATCAACATCAACATCAACATCAACATCAACATCATCATCATCATCATCATCATCATCATCAACATCATCATCATCATCACCATCACCATCACCATCACCATCACCATCACCATCACCATCACCATCACATCACCATCACCATCACCATCACCATCACCATCATCATCATCATCATCATCATCATCATCATCATCATCATCATCATCATCATCATCATCATCATCATCATCATCTTCATTATCATCATGCTCACCATCGTCATCACCATGACCATCACCATCATCATCAACACCATCGTCATCCTCATCGTCATCATCAGCATCATCAGCACAACCATCGTCAATGCCATCACCATCATCATGAATTTCCTTATCCTATATAATGATCGTTCCCATCCCTCCTTTAACGATAACTCCAGGAAGTACTTACTTACTCTCTCCCTCCCCTTTCTTCTCGGTCGGCAAATACGTCTGTTCGCCCCAGACCGCCTGAGAGGGTGGTTGAAGCCGTACCACGTGCCCTGGCCAGCCTCGGATCACCGCACGCTCTGGCCGGAGGGCGAGGGGAAGGGCGAGGACGCAGTGGGCCTGGACGACGGCTACGAGAAGAGGGCGGATGTGGGGAGAGAGGGCGGGGGGTGGGTGGGGCGGATGGGGAGTAGACGGTGGACGGGCAAGACTTCTCCATTCTGCATGCCCAACTATTACCCGCATCTCTCCAAGGGTCTCCCTGGCCTCCCGCCTCCTTCAACCCCCCTGCTACTCCATCCTGACTACCTACCAGACCACCCCAACCTGGGTGGTTTGGTGGGTGGTGACATCCTGCCTCTTCTTCCCTCCACACGCTCGCAACACCGCTATCGCTCCCTCCGCCCACCCCGTTGACCTCCCCTCCCTCTTCTTGTTGCTCCTGCTTGACATGCTCCCCTCCTCGACCGCCGCCCTCCCTCCGTCCACATCTGCGCTTATGGACTCTGAGCAGCTCGCGAAATAGATCGGCAGAAGCTCCGCCACGAACTGCATGAACGGTATGACCACCAGTCCAAGCAGCATAACCAGGTCCCGGAAACCGAAGTGCTTGTAGTGACTCGCGTCGTAGTACCCTGACCAACCTCCTCCTCCTCCTCCGATCTTCCACCACTCTCCCTCCTCCCCATCGTAATCTGTGATTCTGGTCCTCTTCCCCTCCCCTGACTCCCTTTCCCTTCATTGGCTTCCTTATCCCGTCTGTCCCCCCCTCCAACAAACAGAAAGCACGCGGCCCCGCCTGGCCCACTCCCGCGCGGGCTAACCCAGGCCCTGGCGCCCCCCCCGCGAGGCCCCGAGGGGAACGGCGGAATGGTCAGAACGTCATCATGCAGACCCGCCACAGGCACCTTCATGGTCCTGAGCATGAAAATGACCAGACGAAAGCAATGATAAGCTTCAAGGGCAACGGATCCCTAAAGTCTGTGGCTTTCGCGCGATCTGCTCGCGAACGCAAACCTTCCCTCCAACATGCCAAAGTGGTCCGAAGGGCCCATCTTCGGCCCGTCCGTATGGTCTCTCTTGGGGCACATCATGACATGAACCTGGAACTTCGAGAATCCGCCTCCGCTCAAGCAGCAATACATGCCCATGCATGTCCGGGCTGCGAAGGTGAGCAGAAGTACCACGCGCAGTAGGGCAGCAAGAAAGGCACGTATGGTGGCCCTTTTGATTTGAGCTCGAGTTTCATCGTCAAGTTGGCCCCTGCCAGCTCGCAGGATATCACTATTCAACGTCGTCGACGCGGCAGCCACGGGGGCGGCAGCTAGCGTGGGTGCCTACGTAGTGGGATCGTGCGCGAGCGTGTGGAGCGTTCTCTTCATGTCTCCTGGTCGTCCTCTCTTCCCCTCTTCTGCCAACTCCGCCTCGCCTTGGCTTAGGTGTAATGGCGTGCGCGCAGTCTTGTTTGAAGGTGTCTGTATGTGCACAGGGTCCTAGCATGCAGCTCGGAGAGCAGGCACACTGCAATGTCAGAGTCGATGATCAAATTACTCGAGTATTGATCGCGATCGTGGTGCTGACCCGCGACCTGGTGGAGGCCGGCGAACTGGCTCTGACACGCACCCCTGGTGGGGTTCGGAGACTGTGCGGAGGGTCCTTGGCACGGCGAGGCCCAAAGGGCCCAGCCGTGCCAGAGGGCGCCTCCGACCCGCAGAGCCGCGTGAACGATGGCACGACTGGTCAACTGCCTGCCGAGCCTGCGCAAACGACACTGCCTGCGCTTGTAGATGCAGGGAACGCAAGGCCCCGTCCTCCACCTCCACCATTCTCCTCCTCCCTCCATCCTCCATTTCCACCATTCGTCCTCGAGCATGTGTTCAGACAGTGGAAAAGGGTACGGTTCCGCATAAGACTTGAGATTCAATCAGGTTGTGGACCGCACGCCCAGATCACAAATTTGCATTTCGCCGACGACGATCTGCTTTGCGCTCCCAACCTACGTTCTTCGTGAGGTTCGCGAGCAAACAGAAAATGCTTTGTCATGGCACACAGAGACGAACCAACATAGCAACGAACGTCAACCGAAAAGAAGGACGAGCCGTCACCAAAGTCGACAGCAACATAAGGATCATGGAAGTGTCACGTTTAGACCAGGACACAACATGTCAGTGACGAACTCATGTTTTAAACATTGGTTTTACGACACAACGCTACACAACAAAATGGCTGCAATGTGAAGCCGGTTCAGTCGATTGCGGTACGAACTCACGAACAAGTGATGCCTACTCCGCAACAGATGGAAGATTTTCAACGGCACAGTCACGCCGTCCGTGGTGTATGGGTGTTCGCCGTGGACTTTCACGAAGGACATGCTCATTACTTCGAAACGGGTCCAACGTGAAATGCTCGAGCTTGTCATGGGAGCGCCGCGGAGGCGCAACACTCACAGCCGACATACTAATGGCCTGCATCCACAACCGCAACGCGACCGACGCCAGCACTTCAACCAACGTGGGCCTCAGGTGCGACAGCAACGACGAAGGCTTAGGACCATGGGCGGACTACATACGGATAACAGCGCACGCAGCAACGGAACTTCTCTCTCCAGTAGTAGAACGACGCACGCAGCAACGAAATGTACGTAGTAGTAGTAGTAGTAGCAAAAGTAGTAGTAGTAGTAGTAGTAGTAGTAGTAGTAGTAGTAGTAGTAGTAGTAGTAGTAGCAGTAGTAGTAGTAGTAGTAGTACTAGTAGTAGTCGTAGTAGTAGTAGTAGTAGTAGTAGTAGTAGTAGTAGTAGTAGTAGTAGTAGTAGTAGTAGTAGTAGTAGTAGTAGTAGTAGTAGTAGTAGTAGTAGTAGTAGTAGTAGTAGTAGTAGCAGTAGTAGTAGTAGTAGTACTAGTAGTCGTAGTAGCAGTAGTAGTAGTAGTAGTCGTAGTAGTAGTAGTAGTAGTAGTAGTAGTAGTGCCAAAAGAACACGGAGGTGGGCCTCACGCCTGGCAGCGCACGATCTGGACAGGTGGACCGTCCTAACGGCTCAGTGTGACCCAAGCACGAAAGACCCACGCCATACACAAGCAAGGCACGGCGGGCAACGAAATGTGTGAGGCCCACGACATTTCTCAACTTTCTACGTCCTACGAGCACCACGGAAGACAGCGGTGGCAACGACAACAAGAACCAGTTTCTACGCATATCATCGAACTTGATACTCTGGGTAGCTTTGGCAACATAACTTCCCGGACTACGTGCAGGCATACACGTGCACACATACTACAACGTGCGCTGGCATGAAGGGTCTGACTCAAATTCCTATGCTCCTGTTTGGAGTCCCGAAACGGTGCGGTGACAGACCGTGCGGTGACCTCGAAGTCCTCCAAGGCCTCACCGCACGGTCCGTCAGCGCATGGTGTTGGGACCTCGGATGCCTCAGTCGCCCGAGACGTCCTCGGAGAACGACCCGAGTCCCAAAACCGTGCGGTGACCCCGAATCCCCACCGACTCACCGCACGGTGTGGTCACCACCCCGCTTGGGTTGGAGGGTGAAACAGGGTGTCTGCAACAGGGGGTCTTCAATGGGGGCTGAATGGCCCATGTATGCTCAATGTATCGCTCATGTATGTGATCGGGAACGATTCGCATCCAATGTTGGCGGTCATGGAGGGCCAGTCGTTCGTACCCGCGCGTTGCCCGCGCGGGAACACGCGCCGTCCATCAATTATCGTTCATGCGTGCGGGCGTTCTTGCATTCTGCGCGTGGGGCTGCGATGTGGAGTGCAAGTGTCTTGATTGTGCGATTGATGATCGCATATGTTCCCAAACGATGAACTATCGACCCCCAAGGCAGATTTGGCATGGGTGCCGCGATTCTCCCAAAATGTGAATTCACATTTCCCTTTTCCCAACATGTGAATTCACATTGTCCTTTTCCCCAAAATGTGAATTCCCATTCTGGCCCCGTCAAACAGGTTCCTACACACAATTTCAAAATGTGAACTCACATTTTCCATTTTCCGAAAATCCAAATTCACATTCCTTTTCCAAAAATGTGAATTTACATGTTGCCTTTCCCCACAATATGAATTCATATTTTGCCCTGGCCTTCAAGATCCCCAAAACTGAGTCGCAGTGTTCCGCATGTCAGATTGGCTGGGCAGATTTTGACGCTCACCTCACCGCTTTCTCGCCCTCAACGCACGTTGCCTTCGTCACCTTTCCCGAGCCCCCCGCTCCCTTGTTCGTTTCCCCTCAAGTCTCGCGCATGGGTGCAGGCGGGGAGCTTCAATTGGCACCCCCGTCGAACACAGCAATCGAGGATGCATCGCCCATTCATGGCCCAGAAAGACACCATTGCTGGGACCCTGCGCCCGACCCCCACTTTAACCCTCCAATTGGGGACCCCCGATCCTGGCTGCTGTTCCGGCCTTTCCGACTCCGACCGGAATCAATCCTTCATTCATTGAGGGTAACACATGTTACCTAGGGCTCCCAAAGGGAGAATAGGAGGACGACGAGGAGGGGGAGAAGGAACGAGGACCGCGAAGCGCGAAGCGCGAATAACTTCGCGCCCTCGAGGGAGCCCTTGGTTACTCTGGGGGGGTTGGGGGGGTCGGTGGGGCGGGAGGGGTGACGGTAACGGCGGCCGACGTGCACCACCGAATGCGCGCCCGCAGCACAGGCGCAAAACAGGTGTGCTTACGACGACGCCTGCGTTCACCACACCGCCTGTGCACACCACGATGCCTCTATTCACCCTAGCACCTGCGCGCACCTTGGCTCCATACCACCCGTGTGCACCATGACGCTCCTGTGCACCTCAGCACCATCGTACGAAACAACGCCAATGCACACCACAGCGCTTGCGTGCAGTGGATCGTCTTTGTACACCACGGCGCTTGCACACATCAAAGCAGCCGTGTGCACCACAACGTGGCCAAATCCCGCTGTACTTGCTTGCGCCTGAGTGCTTGTGTACACCATAGCGCAGCGCATGTCGAGACTACAGAAGTCGCGTGAAAAATCATGAAAAAGGCGAGGACGACGAAAGTAGGAGCCCTACGACGACGACGACTACAACGTTGACGACGACGCCGACAACGTCGCCGACGACGATAACAATGCCTGTGCACCTTCGGGAGCCTCTGGGCCACGTCGTCGTCGTCGTCCTCCTCCTCCTCCTCCTCCTCCGCCTCCTCCTCATCCTCCTCCTCACCCGCTCTTCGTTATCCCCCACCTCCTCCTCCTCCTCCTCCTCCTCCTCCCCCTCCTCCTCATGTGCCTAGAATGTCCTATGGAAAATGCAAAGGCCCACGCCTGTGTACGGGTGGGGGGGGGGTCCGGGGAAAGGTTAAACTTGATATCCTCAGTGCCTATACAAGAACAGTCGCCCCCCCGCTCTGGAACGACGCCTCTCCAACCCACCTCCCGACTCCAGCTCTTCTTTCGGACTCCGGTTTCAATGGTCGTCTGTCCGACTCTGGTTCCCACCTCTCGTTCGGCTTCACTGGTCGTGTCGCAAGACTCCAACTCCCATCCCTCCGACTCCAGCTCGTACGTTTCCAGCCCTGGAACTAATATGCCATGTCTCCAACATAACCCCGTGCCCCCGATATTGATCCTACTACTACTACTACTACTACTGCTACTACGACTACTACTACTCCTCCTACTACTACTACTTCTTCTTCTTCGTCTTCTTCTTCTTTTGCTACTACTACTACTACTACTACTACTACTACTACTACTACTACTACTACTACTACTACTACTACTACTACACTACTACTACTACTACTACTACTACTACTACTACTAACTACTACTACTACTACGACGACGACGACGACGACGACGACGACGACGACGACGACGACGACGACGACGACGACTACTACTACTACTACTACTACTGCTTCTACTACTACTACTACTACTACTACTACTACTACTACTACTACTTCTTCTTCTACGACTACTACTACTCAAATGCTAAACCTACTAACATTACGACTATTACCATGACTAGCACTCGGGGGGATATCCTTCAGGAAGACTAACCACCCGACACAATCCATCACGGCGAACAATACTCGGCACATAATTCGGCCGTCATGCCCGACACTAATTGCCAAGCCGGAGCTTGATGGGGGGAGGCAACACTAAAGACCTCCTGCGGTTACATCGGCGATAGACCCCCGATAGGCATGCCTCACGTTCTTGGGCGGTGTGGGCTATCGTGCCCTAATCGGCGATCAGTGGGCGATCGGGGGCCCGATGCATCTCCCCTGAGCCTGTCCCACCCGAACGTTGCCCCTGATCAAAGCTCGTGGTAGCCTGCGAGCAAGAACAGCAGCATGACATGCCAGACGTTGTCGCTCAGCGACCGCACCAACAAGCGCGCGCTCGGCTGCAGGGCCGCCGTGTGCCTCGGCGGCCAGGGGTCCGGCCCGCGGGAGGATCTTACGATTGGCACTTTCAAAAATGGGACCCTGAGACCCGGGACTCAAGGGTGAGGAAGTCGTCATTGAACAATACGAATCGGACCCAGAAACCCTTTCCTATCCTAAGGGCCACACCCCTTAGGGCTCTATCTTCGAGCACCGACTCCCAGCCCCTGACCTCCCAGGAGCTGCGGCAAGCTCACGCCGCGGTGACGCCGGTGCTGGACTCTTCCCCCTGGAACGACCGCGGCCTCCTGACGGCGTGCAGTTCGTTCGGCACCGGCGGACTCGGTGGCCCTGGCGGCGTTCAAGCTCGGACGCCCCCCCAAAAGAAGCCCGAGAAGGCCATGGGAGGATCTCCAAAAGGCCATGGGAGGCCAACAGGAGGGCCTAATTACGTAGCCCCCGAAAGCTCCCATAATTACGTAGCTCCCGCGCCAACGCGGCGGTAGCCTGACTGCACGGGGGGGGCGCGAGCAGGACGAGAAGAGCACCCCGAGCGGGGCAACCGCTCGGGCGCGCAATTCCGGCAGCGAGTCGGCCCGCCGTCGGAGGCGGCGAGTCGGCAAGCGGACGCGCCCGCTCAGCAGAGCGGCGAGGCCACGGGGCCAGCATCGGGCACGTCACGGACCAGGCAGAGCGGCGCAGGGACGAGGCGAGGAGGCGAGGCAGGCGGCGAGGCGGGCAGTGCCTGGGGGCCTGGGCCTGTTGGCAGAGCACGGGAGGAGGGGCTCGTCGGCTCGTGCAGCCTGAGAGGTCTCTGATGCTCCTCTGCTCGTGCGCACTGCGGTGGAGGGGCAACGAAAACAGGGCTGCTGGGGAGGCTGTTGCACGTATAGGAGGGACGCGGGTGGATGGAGGGAGCGAGGTGGAATATGGGGAAGTGGGAATGGGGTGCAGACGGAAGTGAGAGAAAGAGAGAACTCGCTAAGCGAGGGGGAGAGGGGTGGGCGACGCAGGAATAGGATGGCCATGGGGAGGGGGAGAAGGGGAGGGAGTGAGCGAGTGAGGGACCGTGGAAGGAAATGGAGCGAGGCTGGAGGGGCAGCGCGGGGTGAGACAAGACACATTTGGCCGCGGCGGGGCGCGCCAGAACGCGCTGAACGTGTCCGCCTCTTGAATCGCGATGGCCATGAAGCAGACCTCCCCACGAGGGCGCCGCCGACGCCGACGCCGACACATGCGCGACTCCTGCGCCTCCTACTCGCTGGACATCTGGAGGCCAGAGCAAGCATCCAAAGCCCCCTCCAGACAGCCAAAAGACGAAAGGCCAGCCCTGGAGAAGGTGATAAATTGTCAGGAGGCCGGGAAACCGACCAAATCGAGCCGGCACATGCCTGGATGCTCTTGCAGGGCTTATGGTCTGTGGGCCCATGCGCTCTCCCCCTCCCCATTGGAGCCTGCGTCCGATGCCCTGCACCTTGGTCGTGAATAGAAGTGTGGTGTGGGAATCATGCTCCCCCTGCAGACATGCGCCCACTCCCCCCCCGGCCGTCCCGCTGCGCCATTCTCCCTGCCAAGCTGCCTGTATCTTCCTCCCTGTCCAGCAAATACTAGTAGATGAGCGGCGAAGCGGACCCTTGTCCTCTGTGAGTGGCAAGCCGCAATATGCCCACGGGTCTTCAAGGGTCATGGGAAGTCCCCAGATATCTCCACAGGCCCCTGGGGCCTCTGGAGGACTCTGGAAGATGAAGGCCCCCCAAACACACTAGCATATTGAGAACCATGACTCGGTTATTATATATGTATAGGTTGTATGTACACACTTGCAACCAACGTAACATAGTGTACCCGTCTGGGACGCCTGAGTGGCGCCACGAGTGTCGTCTTGGTGTCCCTGGGGGCTGTGTTGGCACCTTCGCTGGGGCGTCGTGGGGCGATCCCTGGGGCCTCTGGGGCCGTCGTAGGGCGTGAAGAAGCGGGGACGGCATACACCCTGCGAAATGCTTTAGAAATCATGGGTTAAGAAATTCATAGTCTCAGAATTTTAATAAAAACCCATAACTACTATTCAAATCTTGGGATTTACATTGAAACATTAAGAATAATCGAGACTCTGGCCGAAAATTTAAGTTTTCTTAAGCATCGCCTAAGGTGTATTGTTTGTTGGGGCCGTCGTGGGAATGTTCTTGGAGGCTTCTTGGGTCGCCCCGGAGGCTCATCGGACCGTGGGGGAGCCACCTTAGGGCGTGTTTCGCATGGTCCAAAACGTGGGCCATGTGCTCCTCAACGCCAGCTGCCGCGCACATCTCTCGAAGGGCGCGTCGTGGGGATCAATGCTCGCTTCATCGTAGAGTTGCGCGCTTCAAGTTTGATTCCCATCCCAGAAACGTCTGGTGAGGGCCTGTGCAGCTACTGGGATACGATCCCGCTCTCCCTAACAGCTGGGCGGCAGTTTGATCACCTCAAACAGCAGTTTGGAGGGGGAGGAAGAGCAGGAGGAGCACGCAGATGATCAGGATAAAAAGTAGGGACTGGGGGGCGAACCGGCGCCACATAACCCCGAAGACATCCCCAGGAACATCGAAAGTGAACGGCAGAAGGATGAAGGTGGAGAGCGGCAAGGAGAGGGGAGAGGACGAATCCGCTGGCCAACGCATCGCTCTGCCTCTACGAAGACGGCCTCTGCGCTTGACTGGCCTTCGTAAAGTAGCTCCTTTCCACATCCAGGCCACTGCAAGCACGACAGGTGGAGGATGATGAGGAAGAGGAGGAATGCGGATGAGGGTGTTTGTATGCCTTCCAGAATGAAAGTATCTTCAAATTGAGGCGCGCAGTAAGAATATCGTAGTCTCTCGGGGGCCGTTCAGGGGACTCTTGGGGGCCACTTGGGCGTCTATTGGGTGCCTATTGGAAACCTTTTGGGGGCCCCTCGGAAGCCTCTTGGGGTCCAGGGGGCCTCTCAGGAACCTTTGCTTGGAGGGTTGTGGGCCGTCCTGAGACCATCCTGGAATCCTCTTGGACGATCATGGAAACAGCTGGGGGCTACCTAAACACCATCGAAACCGGAAAGGCGAAAGATCCACAACCACTGAAAACACCATGCTTCTCTCTCTCTCTATCTCTATATTGTGCCATCGGCGGCGTCACTGGAGAGCCCCAGGGCGACTTCAAATCCATCTTGGGACGTTCGGGCCGCCTTGGGGCCGCCCCTTGCACCCTTGAAGGGCCGCTTCGGGCCGCTTTGGGCGCCCAGGAGGGCGGTGAGAGCGCCGTGCCTCGGGGGAGCCCGAGATCGGCGGGAACTCCGCCAAGCGCCCCCATTCGGCCTGCGCGAACTCGACCAGCTTTGGCGGGATGCAAATGGGGGGATAAGTCCAAATGGGGAGAGAGGCGCAACCGAGGTACAAATTGTACCTGCGCCCCACGGAGAAGGTACAATTTGTACCGACGCCACGCAGACAAGGTACAGTTTGTACTTTTGATAACGTTCGCGACATGTGCGAGGATGATCACGGGGGGGATAGAATGTACAATTTGTACTTGCAACCCGCAAAGAAGGTACAAATTGTACCCCAACAAAACGGTACTGGATACTCATCCCCCCATGTCCCGATCCCCCCATCGCCATCCGGCCGACAGCTCCGTTTCGGCCAGCCTCGCCGCCACTGTCCCGGCCTGGGCTATACGGAGAAGCCTCTCGGCTCGCTGGCACGCCCTTTCCGGCTCGCGAGCCACCGCTTCCTGCCGCTCGCACGACAGCTGAACACGCCTCCGCACCTCGGCCGCCTTTGCGCGCTCGGTTTGGATATTCTTCGCCTCGGCTTTCTCAACCCTCTTGCGTCTCCGCCTGTTTGCCTTGGCCGCAGGCTGCGGATGGGGGCGACCGCCAGGCGGCGCCTCGGGCAGAGGCGGCACCGCAGCGTCCTCCTCCTCCTGCGTCCCGACGTCGCCCCAGTCGCCGCCCAGGTGGCCCTCGACAACTTCAGACTAGTCGAGCACCCCGTCGCATTCCGCCGCAGCGGGTGCGTCGACAGCCTCTTCGCAATCCAGCACAGGCTCGCCCATGCGGAGGACCGGCTGCGTCCCGCCATCGAGCCCTTCGGACTTCGCCTCGACGCTGTCCTCACCGTGCGCCCTTGGGCGCCTTCGGCCGCAACATCGCGTCGCCGTGCACGAGCTAGACGGCGCCCTCCATCAGGCTCGCTGCTATCCCGTGTGGAAACGAAGGGGGGTAGAACCAAAATGCGCGCGCATTTTTTGAGCGGCCTTGCGTTCCACCGAGAGGTGGGGCACGGGCTGAGACATGGCCAATCGCCCCGTCGCTCCCATTCTGGAAGGAGGGCGGCCACGCCTGCGCCAACGATAGACTCGCAAGCGCATCAGAAAGCCGAACCCGCGCGAAAATACATCAGGAACGGCGCAACACGAGCGCAGATTTCGCGAACCCCAACATCCATAGTCATTGCCCAACCGCGAGCGTGAAACCACCCAAGAGCAACCGCGCGCCGCAACCTATAACGCAACCGCGACAATCTTGACTGCAACCCGCGGTGTATATTATTTTCGCGCGTCGCTCAGCGGGGGCACATCTACCCGCGAAGGCGCGCTTCGCGCCGCGGGGGTTGACGGCCGCGCAGCGCGCGGAACCCCGACACGAAAATTGGCGGGCCTCGCAGCGAAAGGGGCCGAAATTCTCGACGGCGCCCCCCCTGCCGTGCCCGAATCACCCGCGCCCCCGACAACGCGCGGTGACGTGGCAGCGCCAGCGACGGGGCGACGCGAGGCAATGCGCGAGGAAACCCCAAACCACAGACGCCAAGGAATGGCGGGTCGCCCCGTGGATGGGCGCGACCGCGCGGCTTCGGCGTCGCATCGGGCCGCTTAGACGGAAACCAGGGAGCCCCGCACATATTTGTCAGGGCAACGTCAACTCGCACGGCGCGCGCGTTGGGGGTGGGGTGGGGGCGCCAGATTCGCCCGATGGATCGCAGCGGGGCCGCACCAAACATTGGGGCGCTAAGATCACGAGCGCGACCTGCCCAGGCATAGCGCTGAGAAAGATGCCCCCCCCAATGCAGGGCGCCGCAAACATAACAGGGCGCGGCAGCAGGGGACGCCGCAGAGCCGCGCGCTGCCTACCGCGCTCCACACCCCGCCCTCCAACGCGGGGCCTTGCGATTAAGCCAAAATAGCAACGGCGAGGAACGACGACTCCATCCTCCTCCCCCACCGCCGACATCCCCCCATCCCTTCCTCCTCCTCCTCCTCCTCCTCCTCCTCCGCGCCCCTCCACCATCCTCATCTCGACCATCCCCCTCCGATCCTCCGCTGTTCCTCCTCCTCCTCTTCCTCCTCCCCCTCCTCCTCCTCCTCCTCCTCCTCCTCCTTTTCCTCCTCCTCCTTCTCTTCCTCCACCTCTTCCTCCTCATCATCCTCGCCATCGCCGCCCCCCCTCCTTCTCCCCTCCCCATCCCCCTCCTCGGCATCCTCGCCCTCGTCGTCGTCCGTCTCCCCATCCGCATCCGTTTCATTGGCCCCCTTACCATCTTGCTTCTCACCCTCCTCCTCGTCCTCCTCCTTCCCTTCCATGGGCAGCCCCATCGTCCTCCTGCCCCGCCATGCTTCTCCCTCCGCCCCCATCGCCCGTCACCACCCTCCTCATCCCCCCCTCCTCGCCCGCTCCTCATCGCCCCCCCCCCCCGCCCTGCAGTTCACTTCACCCCCTTCCCGCCTCACCAAACACACGCACACACACGCACACACACACGCACATTTACACGTATATGTACAAGTACGACCGCACTTACATATACAAAAGCACTTACATGTGCACCTACATTCACACATGCATGTACACTTACACTCACACTTACACGTGCACATACATTTGCACACGCACACGCGCACACGCGCACACGCGCACGCGCGAGTAAACACACACGCGCGCACACTCACACATGTACACGCAGTTACACGCAGGTACATGTACAGTTACATCAGTATATATATATGTATATACATATACGCGCATGCACGCATACACGAGCGTACGCACGCACGCGCGCATGAGCACACGCACGAGCGCACACGCACACCCACACCCACACCCATACCTACACACACACACACACGCACACAGCCACACACACACACACACGCACACACACACACACACGCACACGCACACAGGCGCGCACAAA